CTGTCCCGCCGCGGGGGGGCAGCAGATGCCTCGGGCAGCAATTACGGATCCGACCACTAATGCAGGAAAATATGCATCATCATCACCATTAACATCATCATATCTCCAGTGTAACGATACAGACCCACGCCACCCAGGTGCCAGGTTAAGTGTCAGCAAACATAATAATGTGAGCATAATTTTTTCCTAAGTGTGATTTATCCCACTGAGGGACAGTCGCTCCTTTTGGCAAGTACACAGAGCTTTATTTATTAAAGGGACAAACCACTGATAATTAACATTTTAACATAGACTGAGAAAAAATACAATTCAGTTAGGAAGCGCTAAACAACAGAATAGACCTACTCTCCTCCTCCAATAAGACACATTTTAATCCATTATTATCTGCATCCCATCACCTATACTGTTTCAAAAACTCCTCTACTTTATTTATATTACTATTTTCCAACATACAGTATATAGACTACTTTTACATGCAGTATAAAGAGGTAAATCTTAAGGATCATTTCATGTTTTATTTTCATACACACAAGAATACTCAGGTTTTTTACTCAAGTAAAAAAAGTAGGCTAGCAATACCAGTGTGAAAAATACTGTTACAGTAAAAGTACAAAAATATAAGGGCAACACATACTGAAAGTACTAAAAGTAACAGTACTCATGCAGAATGGCACATTTCACATTAATGCAGGTCATATTATTAGATTATAATTGCTGCGTACATTGCTTTATTAATGCAGCTGGTAAATGGAAACCACCTTATAATCTGAATTACTGCTGGGTAGCTTGTAACTTTCCTAACAGGGACAAATAAAAACAGACACTGGGTAGACATTATTCAACAGCGTCCAAACTGATGACAGTGTTACAGAAAACATCTGATATGAGGTTTGTATCTTGACATTGCTCTCCTACTGGTGACGGCTGCTGGCTATAGTTTCACACTTATACTCATTTTATTGTAACTGTGACTTGGTGTAATTTAGTTGATTTAGTACTTTCAGTCTGAGCTCATCTGATTGCCAAGATGGCATCGTAGGTCTTGCCGGTCCGGCAGACCTGAATGTTTTGAAAGCCGGCCTTGTTGAGCATGTGGGTGTACTCGGACGGCGGGCGCTCCCGGCCCTCCATCTGCACCAGCATATTTAGGGAGAAGATCTGAGCCATGACAGGGCCTCGTCTGTTCTCAAACAGCATGGCCTCCACCAGCAGGATGCCACCACCTGCCAGGACAAAGACAGTAGGTACTGAAGGATGAACTGAGCTTTGAATGTGTGAGTACAAACACAAAAAGGGGTTCTGTATTTATATAATGGCCCAGCAATGTGTCAGTACATAGGAGGGTAGTAAATCATTCAAATGCATCAAAAGTGTTCTTTTATGTTGGGAAAATAGCAGCACACCACGATTTGACCAATAAAACATGAAGCAAAGGTTTTAAGAATACATTTTAGACACAGGTCAGCTGGAAATGTGGCTGCAGATTCTGGAGTTGTGCACTGGTACAAGCACATGCAAATGTAGGTGTCTAAAGTACATTCTGTAAAACACACCTGGTTTACAGATGTCGTAGATCTTCTTCAGGAGTGTCAGGCACTTCTCTTCAGACCAGTCGTGAATGATTCTGGCCAGAATGTACAGGTCGGCAGCAGGTAGTTCACTGCTGAAGAAATCACCTGAATATCCAATAGAAAGTGTGCGACCACTCCAGGCAAGGCTTTTTGAATATACACTCAGTGGGCAGTTTATTAAGTACACCTAGCTCAGACCAAGTCAGTCTAATCCAACAGTCCTACAATGAATCCTTCTTCATTGGCTAAATGAGGCTTACCAGTGTGGAATACAACACCGTCGTTCTCCTGAGAGAAATGCTTCTGAGCTGCTTCTACAACCTGTGGGAGGTCAAACACTGTGACGGAGGAGGATGGATATACCTTCACCATCTCCTGGGCAAGAGCGCCAGTGCATCCTGGAAGTTTTTCAGACAGAACAGTATGAGAACCTGACCGGCACTTCATCATCGTCATGTAGCGTCTTTACTCTCAGTTCAACATCTGCTCTGAACATCTGTCAGTTTAGACAATGACTCAGTTTTCCAACAAATGCTGATGTTGTAAATCTGTATTTAAAAACTTGTATAATTGATTTCATATTAACACAGTGGAGACATAGATCCCTTGTGTAGAACTGGAGACTGCAAGTAGCAACACAACCTATAACAAATTTACAGCCACTTACCTCCGAGATCTACTATTGTCTGAAAGCAGGAGAGGTTGAATGCCGTCGTGATGTCATGTCCGTCGAGGATCCACGAGGAGTTCATCAAACCCATGAACTTCAGCATCTCCTCCTCCGATCTGGGTGGTGAATTTGAAGGTCCAACACATAATCATAAAACTCCATGACTGATATAATTATACAAATAAGCATCTGACACAACAAAATCAACACCAACCTGTAAAGAGCTTGGAAAACAGATTCTGGTGGAAGGCCGAAGGTCTTTTCATTTTGATTCTTCCCCTCCCTGTGTGGCAAAGTATTAGGCTCTCTTTTAATCATGTTAATTCAATATAGTTTGTATTTGGCTGCTGCGGGGTTTGTTTTACAAGCATTACACTGAGACAGAGCAGCTCTGGAGGGTATTAGCCAACCTCCATAACTTTGCATTTGTTACTTTTTTCACAGCTTCATTCAGCAGTCGGTGATCTGACCTTTCCCTGTTTGCATCCACTAACCTAACGGCGTCTGCCAAGTTGTTCCACAGTGGGTAGATGGTCTGGGATTGGTAGATGATCATGTTGTGAAGAGACTTGACGCTGCCTTGGGCCAGGTAAAGGTTCGTCACATCAGTGCTGCTGTACAAAGCTGTTTTAACAAAATGAATTCACACTTAATGACTTCAAAACTCCAGGACAGCCACTAAATGGGCCTTGAGGTGAGGTTATTACCTGCTCTTTCCAAGGTCAAGAATGAACTGTGAAACTTAACTTTTAAGCCAACATGAACCAGGAGAGAACCAGACTGCTCTGAAAAATGAAAAAATGAAACATCTACATTTCCATGATAACTGGACTAACTTGTGTGCAGATGAAGACCATGTCATACGGTCAAAAGTTGTACAAAATGGACCTTGATATAAGATTAGTTTGTCAACTTTAAAACAGCCTGTAATTAGTTCTTAATATGAAGATTAATAACTCAACAGGACACATGCAGACAAAACTCAAACCCCAAAGACACACAGTAAGTAAACATGGCTGGTTGCGC